CAGCAAGGCTGGGGTTACTATAAGACTGTATGATGTTTCACTGTTTGTAATTCCCTCTGTAAAGGGCACATAGTGCAGTCGCTAGTAAAAAGCGAAGTTACCCGCCACATCACCGTAGAGGCTTCAGCAAACAAACTGACACACTTTGATGGGGAGTGTAGAGGCATGGTCGCCCACGCCAGTCTGTAAAACACTTGATGATTGCAATTGCACAGTGGGAAATTATAATCGAAAATACAAAAGATACAATACACTAAAACATAAAACAATACAAATGCCAATTAGCCGACAGGGAAAGAATCATCATGTGACAACAGAAAGAGAGGGCACTTTTACAGCATTGGGAGATGGAAACGGTTATGGGGTTCTTCGTAAATTCTTTGATCATCAACTTAATTTCTGTAGATTCTGTGGCGTTGTATGGGTCTATTTGTAAAAACTTATGGAATAAAACTTGATGTAATCAGATAAAACTTGATAAGACGAAACTTGATTTAATGAGATGAAACTTGATTTAACGAGATACGAACCTGATTTGGACCAAAGCTCTAATCAGGACTCCGTCGACATACTCCTCAAAGTAGGTCACTGGCACCTGGCATACAAGTGAGGTTATTGATCTTATAGCAATATATTAGGCTCACAGACAGACAGACAGACAGACAGACAGACAGACAGACATAAATCCAGGCAGACAGTCAGGCAGACTGATAGAACGAACTAACGAACGAACGAACACACTTTTTTTTCAAAGGGTTAAGAATTGGGCACACCGGCCCATCTTACATTCTGACCTTCTGGCCTCACGCCATGCATACATTATTTATGCACACAATTTTTTTAGCAGAAAGTAATAATAATAATAATAATAATAATAATAATAATAATAATAATAATAATAATAATAATAATAATAGGCATCATCAACAACATCTTTGTAACAATGCACCCTAAATATGCCTATATTTTAAAACAATTATAATACTAAATATAATAAATCTTGGTGGAAATCAACACTATTCTTAGGAAACTATTATCTTCCAAGGGGGCATGTAGTCTGTAGTGAGTTAATATTAAAAAAGCTTCCAATTGTATTTACAGGGGTTGTTGATATTTGTATAAGTTGGTTCCACAGATGAGCTGCAGAGTACGCCAAGCTTGTTTTGTACAAGTCTGTTCTAGGTTTAGGGATGTGTAATGTGTTTATGCGTTTGCTATGTCGCCCTTTTTATATTTTAAGAATGGCCAAAAGTAATCTGGAGCATTTTTTTTATAAGATTTTGTTAATAACTTTGACCTTATTGAAAAGTAATCGTTTATGGAAGGGTAGTAACTTAAGATCTTTATCTAAACTGGAACTGTCTCTTCCATGATTATTACTGACTAAGCGTACAGCTCTTTTTTGAAGTGCTTTAAGCCGTTTCATGACTGAACTTGGACAGCCATCCCATACTGTGGAGCAGTAGTCTAGATGGGTCTAAATATGGGAGGTATAGAATATCCTTCTGGTGTTTTCATCCAGAAAGTGTTTAATGTTTGCAAGCTGGTATACTTTTTTAGCTGTTTGTTTCACTAGAGCTTGCACATGAGAAGTGAAGGTTAAATTTCTATCAATAATTACGCCTAAAGCTTTGTGCTCAGTTATACATTCTACTGGGTTGTTACTGATGTAGAGTTGAAGAGTGTTATTTGCAAATAAAGAATATAGCCTTTGTCTTGTTGATATTAACATGCATTTTGTTTCACTAATGTTTACTTGCGTGCGGGTTGCATTGCTCCAGGAAAAAACATTGTTTAATTCCTGTTGTAAAGATGACTCTAGAATATCACACGTGTAAGCACTTGTATAGACTGTACAGTCATCTGCAGGTAAGTCACACGGTGATGACAGACATAAAGGAAAATCATTTATATAAAGCGCAAATAACAGAGGACAAAGAATAGAACCCTGTGGTACTCCAGTATTCATCACAGTAGTCTGAGACAGGGATTTATTGTATAAAACTACCTGTTTCCTTTTTAACAGAAAGGATCTTAATAGCATTAATAGATTACAATTGAAGTTCATTATTTTTAGTTTTCTAATAAGGATAGTATGCTCAATCATGTCAAATGCTTTTCTAAAGTCTATAAACACGCACCCTGCTATTTTATCTTCGTTAATAATCTGATGCCAGTTTTCTATCATGTTTGTTAAAGCTGTATGGTAAGAATACTTTGGTCGAAATCCTGATTGGTTTTCAATTATAAGTTTGTTATTATCTAGATGTTGGAGGGTTATTTTGTAAATGTGTTTTTCTAGCGGCTTTGATAATGATGATAATAAGGAGATGGGTCTATAGCTACTTGGGAGACCACTGTCCAAAGAGCCAGATTTAAGATGAGGATATGCTTTGGCAATTCTAAAAGCTGAAGGAAAATAGCCTTTGGCAAGACACTGGTTATATATAAAAGTTAAGGACTCGCAAACGACTGAAGCAGCACACTGAAGGATCCTATTGCTGATTCCATCTAAACCTGAAGCATTATTGTTTTTTAGACTGGTGAGATATGTGAATACTTCAGTAACTGACATGAGCGGCATGTCAGAAGGAATATCATTTGAGCATTTAGTCTCACAAAACGAGGACAGCAAGGATAAATCACATGTATAATGCGATATTGAAGCCTTTGACTGCTCTTTATCCTTTTGAAAGAAATTATTGAAATCGTCTGGTGTGAAATGATTTGATGTTAACAAACGTGATGAATTGTTTCTGTTAGTCAAGGTATTAATTGCCTTCTTAAGTGTTTGTTTTATCTGTTACTAATTTAGTAAAGAAATTTTTTTTCTTTTTTCGAATGATGTATTAAACTTTATTACGCAAAATCATATATGTTACGAAGTGCTTATTTTTATGTGCCCTATCTCGCTCTCTTATAATCTCAGCCAGCCAGCCAGCCAGCCAGCCAGCCAGCCAGCCAGACAGACAGACAGACAGACAGACAGACAGACAGACAGACAGACAGACAGACAGACAGACAGACAGACAGACAGATAGATAGATAGATAGATAGATAGATAGATAGATAGATAGATAGATAGATAGATAGATAGATAGATAGATAGATAGATAGATAGATGGATGGATGGATGGATGGATGGATGGATGGATGGATGGATGGATGGATGGATAGATGGATGGATAGATGGATGGATAGATGGATGGATAGATGGATGGATAGATAGATAGATAGATAGATAGATAGATAGATAGATAGATAGATAGATAGATAGATAGATAGATAGATAGATAGATAGATAGATAGATAGATAGATAGATAGATAGATAGATAGATAGATAGATAGATAGATAGATAGATAGATAGATAGATAGATAGATAGATAGATAGATAGATAGATAGATAGATAGATAGATAGATAGATAGATAGATAGATAGATAGATAGATAGATAGATGGATGGATGGATGGATGGATGGATGGATGGATGGATGGATGGATGGATGGATGGATGGATGGATGGATAGATAGATAGATAGATAGATGGATGGATGGATGGATAGATAGATGGATAGATGGATAGATAGATAGATAGATAGATAGATAGATAGATAGATAGATAGATAGATAGATAGATAGATAGATAGATAGATAGATAGATAGATAGATAGATAGATAGATTAGATAGATAGATACACACACATATATATGTATATTATAGAGAGAGAGAGAGAGAGAGAGAGAGCAATAGATAAACAGACAGACAGACTGAATGTCTCGGATTTGAATTCACTGTGCGGATTAAATAAAAAGAAAAATTACTTTGACTCCCAGGTTATTTTTGTCTAATATGAGTTAAATCTGACCCATCGACTGCTAAATGGTTTATTAAACAAATGAGTTAACATCTGACGGCTGATGCGGCACTAACATGAAAAAGAAATCCATTTTTAAGACTTGTGGACACTCGTTGGGTTGTCTAGGCATTACTTGGAATCCCGCCTCTTAAATGTCCAGATATCTATTTAGTGTGGGTCCACTTACTGGAGCGTACATTATTGGAGACATGCACTTGCGCCTACTGGTGGAGACTCTAATGTACAATCAAGGACATCCTCATGGGTTGTGCTCTGCGTTGTTATTCTCCTAGACCTCGGCTGACCATACTATCGGAAGTTGAAAACGGGACATTTCATTATTATTTTAGGCAGAAAACAGGACATTTCATTACTATTTTAGGCAGAAAACGGGATATCTCATTATTATTTTAGGCAGAAAACGGGACATCTCATTATTATTTTAGGCTGAAAACAACACATCTTATTACTATTTTAGGTAGAAAACGGGACATCTCATTATTATTTTAGGCTGAAAACAGGACATCTCATTACTATTTTAGGCAGAAAACGGGGCATCTCATTAATATTTTAGGCTGAAAACAGGACATCTCATTAATATTTTAGGCAAAAAACGGGACATGTCATTACTATTTTAGGCTGAAAACCAAGACATCTCATTACTACTTTAGGCTGGAAAAGGGACATCTCATTAATATTTTAGGCTGAAAACAGGACATCTCGTTAATATTTTAGGCAGAAAACGGGACATCTCATTAATATTTTAGGCAGAAAACGGGACATCTCATTACTATCTGAGGCTGAAAAATAAGACATCTCATTACTATTTTAGTCTTGAAACGGGACATCTCATTAATATTGTGGTCTGATAACCGGAAATCTGTTTTATTAGGAACGCAAATGCCAAGCTCGCTCGCTGTCCTTAAACTCCCTCCCATAACACAAATAAAATTTGCAATAGACACCACACCAGAGTAAATACAGATTAAGAAAGCAAGAGACGGAGGAGGAGGAGGAATCAGGGCAGGCGGGTCATAGTTTCTGTGGTTGGTGACTTATAATGGTAGACACACTTACCGTCGACAGGGCAGGCGGGTCATAGTTTCTGTGGTTGGTAACGTATAATGGTAGACACACTTACCGGCGACAGGGCAGGCGCTACAATAGACTGGAATCTCATTTCCGAAAGGGGACGGTTGCCACCATTTTTCTCCACCTGCTCCCAGTTACTGTAATTGCCGTTGACGACACAGTAAAACTCGGCCAGGTCCTTTGACAGTT